ACGTTATCTGACCAGAGACAGTAGCTAGGGGCTCAAGTATATCAGTCACCATTATCTGACCAGAGACCAGTAGCTTAGGGGCTCAAGTATATCAGTCACCGTTATCTGAACAGAGACAGTAGCTTAGGGGCTCAAGTATATCAGTCACCATTATCTGACCAGAGACAGTAGCTTAGGGGCTCAAGTATATCAGTCACCGTTATCTGAACAGAGACAGTAGCTTAGGGGCTCAAGTATATCAGTCACCATTATCTGACCAGAGACAGTAGCTTAGGGGCTCAAGTGTATCAGTCACTGTTATCTGACCAGAGACAGTAGTACACAGGTCTTCCCTGATACTGTTTTAGGAACAAACTTACGTTTCTCATCATCCGCATGCACTAAAGACGCAGCTCTCGACAGAACATCCAAAGGCGTCTCCATTCTTCACAACAACCTGAAAAGAAAGATAGATTTTAAAATAACTGCAATCTTTTATGGACTATGAAGAAAATGGACCACATGCTCACTATAGCGTTTCACGTATAAACCATTTTTTTTTTTTTACTGGGTTATAACATGCTTCAAGCGGGATACATTATTTACTAGTGTCTCGAAGAATGTGTAATTTGTACCCACTAACAGAACTCATGCGTCGGTTTGGCGACGTTGCCCCTGCCAGAACTAAACTGACGAATGAAATAGTGGATTCAATGCTCCAGTGGAGGTTCCTCTGGGGATGGGGAGGACCACCCTACTCAGTGAAAATCCGAAAAATTTTACATTATGAAACATAAAAATAAAAAAAAGTGGATGAGTTGAGCTCTTCTCCAACACAATACATCCATGAAGAGCCTGTCCTGCACACTGCTATTACCTAGATGGATATGTTATTATAAGATGCCTTTAAGAAAAGTTTTAGGTTCAAATAATTTGTCTTAGACGTTGTTGTTTTTTTCCAAACATGCTTTGCGGTCTGAGGTCCGCGCCTATACAGTCAGTCTCCACCCCGTCCTCCTCAATTTGTCAAGTCACCAGCCTACACTGCAATGCTCTAGCACGCACTTCTCCCGTCGCCGTCTCTTTCTCTCGCTTCCCACACTCAACATTCCGAAGATACCTTTCTTGCGTTCGGTTTTTATTCTTCAGGAAAACGACTTTCGACCAGCACTTCGATCTAGGCTACGCTCTCTGACATTTCTCTCATGAGATTTTCAACGTTACAACTTTATCCCATTTTCCATGTAACTGAGAATAGTTAACACGGGAGGGTACATAAAACGTGTACGACTAATTATGGCACAGTTTACTTCAACTTCTATTTAGCCTACTAATACTAAAGAAATAATGTTACTGATCGTCGCCCGATCATGAAATCATTAGTCACAATTAATTTAGCTTGGGAAACATTTCCCCCTCTATTTTCAGTTGTAAAACAATGTCATCCAATAATTATCACGCAACGAGCATGCATTCAAGGTTACTAAAATGTTTCCCCATCTAACTAGTATTATAGTAGCCCAGTCGCTACTTTGTACATACCACCTTCCTTCGAGCGCCACTTTGGAATCTTCCGAATTATATTCGCGCCGGTAATAATGATATGAATCCTGGCTAAGTTTGAATCCACAGAAAAAGCAACGCACCAACTAAATTATTTTGTGTCCGAGGTTGAGTGGAAAACAACGGCTAAGCGGTCGGACAAACTTGGGAACTTCGTTGTAAACGAAGGGGGGAAGAATGTTTGGAATGATAGAATTCTCTTCCTAGCAGGTGGTGAAAGTGGAGAGCTCTCATTGGTCGAGCGCTATGAAATTATATCAGCATAAATTATGATAATTAGATTGCATCACATCCTTTGCAGGTACAAGACAAGGAAGTCGTTGTAAATAATGTGCCGGAGGGGCGGAAGTGGATGCGGAGGCGGAGGTCGAATCAAGCGGCATGTCGAGCAAATTTGGTGTAGACGAATGTTCTGAATGCACAACAGTATTATCGAAAACTGGAACAAAAATGAAATTGTCTAAAATTGGAGTGGAGGATATGTGTGTGAATGATAATGAATCGCTTCTTGTTGAGTAAGGATGCATATGTGGGAAACCTGTTTGAGGTGTCGAAAATTGTGAAGTATGCGCTTGGAAAAGTAGAGTCTGTCAGAGTGACCAGGAGTGGTCTTATTTTTGATTCATTGTATTTCTGAAGATTGCAGTGGGCCTCCAAAATAATCCGGACAACAGAAGTTTTGAACTTTGAATACCTGAAGATAATTCCTGGTGTGGTTGGTGCCCGGTGTCTGACCTGCAGGGTGAATGGAGGAAAAGAAGAAAGACTGTCGGTCCTGTTGTTTTTTAATAAAGAGCAAATACCTACTTGCATGTGAAGCTTGTTTATGTAAGATACGCCGAAAGAGCTTTCGTCCCCAAACCACTGCAGTGTAAGAATTTGGCCGTTTCAAGTGTGTGCAGACGAACAGAGTATTCTGAAGAAGGGTGTGTAGAAGGACGACGGTGTTGCAATTGTGGTGGGGCTCATGATCCCGAGTTCCTGGAGTTCCCTGGAAGAGTGAAGGAGAATGAGGTGGCAAAAGTTAGAGCGGTCATTCCAACCTCTAATCTACTTACTATGCGGAGGCGATTTAAATAATTGAGAAAACAAATTATGCTAGGGAAGATATGATAGTGGATACACCACAGCCTGTAGTAAATGTTTTCTGCCAGACAAAAGCTACCCTGTGTGTTAAAAAGGTGGATTTTGTTGCGTTCATTGCCACAGTTATAAACTTTACAGTCTCAAAGAAGTCTTAAGAAACGGAACATTATTATGGCTGAGGCAGAAACGTTTTAGGAATTTAAGGACGTTACATCTGAAGACCCGCACTACCAGGTTCCCCTTGAGCCTGTGTAGGGATCAGATCTGTTTTATTTAATAGTACAGTTTGATTTATTATCTGGTAGTTCAGTTTTTCGGGGTATCCTGTTTCCATCCCACAAAGTAGGTGGGCACATTAAATTGTGTGATCACCAATATACCATAGAAGAAGAAATGTGCCCTAGCAGGACAGTCCCAGAGCGAAGCCTATTTTCAATGTAATAAACTATGCTTAACTCTGCATTTCAATAGCATTGTCCATGTCCATGTCCTTTGGAATAAGAATGCCTTTGTCAAGTAGTCCTTTTAAAAAGACATGACATCAGTCGAAACAAGACATGGTGTCAAGAACAAGATGAAACGAGCTACAAATGACTCTCCACATGGCAGCTTGTCGTCATGGTTGCTAGCTATTTGACCGATCAGAATAACAACACACTGCATTCTGGCGCATCGTTTTAGTTGTCAGCTAACCTGTCTATGATGTGAAAAACGTTCAGTTAAGTGCAGTGGGGGTGAAGAGAGAGAACACCTGGGAAACAATGATATTGAGAAGCAAGGTGATGACTCTTTTATCCGTGCTCATAAAAACTGCAATTTTACAAAGATATGAGTGACATACTGTTTCATTCATTCTCTTTTTCAGTGCAATAAAAAGTCACACCTTACATCATTGTGGGTGACACACAATGTACCATGATGTTATCCAAGGGTGTATTCAGTCTGCCAAACAAAACGTTTTAGGTGCAAAAAATATTTTGTTTGGCGAGAGTCTCTATTAGACAAAATTCAGGTAGGTCCCTCCTAGTGCTGAGCAATGAGTGCTTTTTGAGGTCGTTTCGGTTCGACTATTAAAAAATAATAACGGTTTTCAATTTTGGTTTCAATTATTTTTGTAGACATTAAATGCATTATGTGAGTTGAATGCTGCAACGCAGAATAAAACGATAAATCCCGTGATGGTAGTAGCTGTCCATTACTGCTCATCACTTATTAACCATAATTTATTCACATTACTTTAATAAAGTATTTCCGTTGTGTATGTTTGTTTTAGGCCTATTTGAATTCCAAGTCATTTCTAAAGAGCTGCGTGACTTTGTAGCTCAATTGGTAGAGCATGGCGCTTGTAACACCAGGTTAGTGGGTTCGATCCCCGGGACCACCCATACGTAAAATGTATGCACACATGACTGCAAGTCGCTTTGGATAAAAGCGTCTGCTAAATGGCATATTATATTATTACAAAATCACTACTTTAGTATTTCTTCAAAGTACATAAGGCATACTTTAATGACTGCTGAACAGCAACTGTCAATCACTTGGATCATGTATTTTCAGGCAGAGATATCTCACGAAGCAGCTGCTCTCGATCCCTCTCTATCACAAGTTCTGCTGTCTGTTCTCTCAGTGTCTGCACCACACAGACCGGACAAGTAGGCCTGCAATGGATTATGGCCACTGAACAAAAACATAACATGTAACGATCACATGTTTCATGAGCTGAAGTAAAAGATCCCAGAAATGTTCCATACGCACAAAAAGCTTATTCCTCTCAAATGTTGTGCACAAACTTGTTTACATTCCCTGTTAGTGAGCATTTCTCCTTTGCCAAGAAAATTCATCCACCTGACAGTTGTGGCATATCAAGCAGCTGATTAAACAGCATGATCATTACACAGGTGCACCTTGTGCTGGGGACAAATGGCCCCATTAAAAAGTGGTCAGATGTCCACAACACAATGCCACAGATGTCCAAGTGGGTTGAGGGAGCATTGCCAAGTTGAACCTTGCGGAGCTTGCAAGTAATTTCCACAAGAGCTGTTGCCGGAGAATTTGATATTAATTTCTCTACCATAAGCCGCCTCCAATTAAATTTCGGTTAATCGTTCAGATTAAATCAATCTGCACTCAACGTTTTGTTCTGTTTGAAGAAAACGTTTTGCAACAAAAAAGTTTGGTTTCTGTTTGAAGAACACGTTTTGCAGACAAAAAGGTTGTGGTTTGTCCGACCGTGAATAACCGGGTTACGCCACTACCAACGGTAGCCGATTAAAACTGGCAACAGACCCTATAGACACGTAGATTAAGACGGGTGCAGGAAAACAGAGTTTCATTTTAAGGACGTCTTTGTGTAACTGGGTTGTATTCAGTTAGGTGAAACATTCACAACGTTGCAGATTAAAATGTAATAAAATGAGCAGAGACAATTCCCTATTGTGCATGATAGACAATCGTATCTGTTTTACACAACACATTTATATCTTAAACTTTCTGTAATTTTCCATCCTCCTGAACAATGATCCCAAGGGATCAAGTTGGTACATTAGTTTCATCCAGGTAGAAAGGGATCAGGGCGTCTTCCTTCTCCAGCCCTTCCACATCTTCTGGAGCTTCTTGGCGCTGTAGGACACGGACTTCAGCAGACCTGCACGAGGAGAACGGTCAGGTAAACCTGTACATCTGCACTGTAGGTTTTCACATATGGAATTAGTGTTGATATCCTCAATTAATTAAATATAAAAATCATAAAAAAGGCGAACTAATAATTATTTACCGGCCGTGGCGATTCCTTTGGCAGTCTGAGTTATGCTTGAAGACTTCACTATTGATGATATTCCTGTAGAAAAGAAACAGAAGGAAAGAGATGAGTCTGGGTCAATGATTTATATATACACCAGATGACTGGTAGGGGGCGCTGTGTTGAAGCCTCCACGCCTCCATCTTGACACTCCCTTTACCATCGCAAAAAAATATTTGGAAGCATGCATTTATTAAAGTAAAGATTCACCCTTTTTGAATATTCTATTGTTTTTGTGCATCTCTGAGCAGATGTTCTATCGATTCCTTGGGTCATTTCATGTGTATCTGAGCTATTGCCGTTCAAGCAGGCAGAAATTTGGCCAGTATGACGTAGCGTTGTGATAAACTTCAACCGAGTGCTGACTGGAGAGCTGGATGAAAGAGTAACCTCACATTGATATCAATGCAGAACTGACAGAAAAATAGTCTTATTGATATCTCAAGTCAATAGGAATACAACTTTTAGATCGCAAATATATAATTTAACAAAAGGGTCTAACACATTTCTCCGATTTGTCTGCCTAGGGTGTATTTTTATTTGATTTTTTTTTAACCTTTAGTCAGTTAAGAACAAATTCTTATTTACAATGACGGCCTACACCGGCCAAACCCGGACGACACTGGGCCAATTGTGCGCCGCCCTATGGGACTCCCAATCACGGCCGGTTGTACATTTACATTTACATTTTAGTCATTTAGCTGACGCTCTTATCCAGAGCGACTTACAGTTAGTGAATACATATTTTTTTAATACTGGCCCCCCGTGGGAATCGAACCCACAACCCTGGCGTTGCAAACGCCATGCTCTATCAACTGAGCTACATCCCTGCCGGCCATTCCCTCCCCTACCCTGGACGACGCTGGGCCAATTGTGCGCCGCCCATGAGTCTCCCGGTCAATGAGACTCATGAGACAGAGCCTGGATTCGAACCAGGGGGTCTGTAGTGACGCCTCAAGCACTGAGATGCAGTGCCTTAGACCGCATGGTGCCGTTGCATTGCATGGTGCCGTTGCGAATGTCAGACTCCACTCTGTGAGGCACATCGATCTGCAGGTTGAACGTAAGTGAGATTGTAGACTCCTAAATAGATAGTGCAGTTTGTTTATAAATAACTAGCTCCTTCACATGCTGATATTGACTTTGGTGTTGTTGTGGGTAGCTACGTTTGCTACCTAGCTAGCTAGCCAGCCCAGAGAGAAAGCATTGCATTGTGGGATTTGTAGTAGACTTGAGCCGCAACAGATTTCCACATGTTGTTACCAACCTTATTATAAACGACAAAATGTTCACAAATAATATTGTTCTCACATATTAGTGTTATGTAACACTAAATTATAGGAATTAGTGGTTTTGGATGGATTTTTCTTTTTAATGTCTAGATTAATTTATGCCATGTTTATTCTATCACAGATGCATACTTCATAATTATATTATGTGCGCTAAACATAACAAATAAAATAATAATTGTTTTTGTGAGATTAATGTCATTGGCCCCACTACAATAAAAAACTATAACATGGAAATATCACATTTACATAAGTATTCAGACCCTTTACTCAGTACTTTGTTGAAGCACCTTTGGCAGCGATTACAGCCTCGAGTCTTCTTGGGTATGACGCTACAAGCTTGGCACACCTGTATTTGGGGAGTTTCTCCCATTCTTCTCTGCAGATCCTCTCAGGTTGGATGGGGAGCGTCGCTGCACAGCTATTTTCAGGTCTCTCCAGAGATGTTCGATCGGGTTTCAAGCCCGGCCTCTGGCTGGGCCACTCAAGGACATTCAGAGACTTGTCCCGAAGCCACTCCTGCGTTGTCTTGGCTATGTGTTTAGGGTCGTTGTTCTGTTTGGAAGATTAACCGTCGCCCCAGTCTGAGGTCCTGAGCACGTTTTCCATCAAGGATCTCTCTGTACTTTGCTCCGTTCATCTTTCCCTCAATCCTGACTAGTCTCCCAGTCCATGCCGCTGAAAGAAATCCCCACACCACCATGCTTCACCGTAGGGATGGTGGCAGGTTTCCTTCAGACGTGACGCTTGGCATTCAGGCCAAAGAGTTCAATCTTGGTTTCATCAGAACAGAGAATCTTGTTTCTCATGGTCTGAGTGCGTTTTGGCAAACTCCAAGCGGGCTGGCATGTGCCTTTAACTGTGGAGTGGCTTCCGTCTGGCCACTGTACCTTCAGGCTCTGATCAGTCCCTACACCCAAACGAGGGCATTGCGTTCATCCACCTCTGGCCTGCTGGCCCCCCTACCTCTGCGGAAGCACAATTCCCGCTCAGCCCAGTCAAAACTGTTCGCTGCTCTGGCACCCCAATGGTGGAACAAGCTCCCTCACGACGCCAGGACAGCGGAGTCACTCACCACCTTCCGGAGACACTTGAAACCCCACCTCTTTAAGGAATACCTGGGATAGGATAAAAGTAATCCTTCTACCCCACCCCCCCCAAAAAAAAATAAAGAAATAATATATATATAGTAAAGTGGTTGTCCCACTGGCTATCATAAGGTGAATGCACCAATTTGTAAGTCGCTCTGGATAAGAGCGTCTGCTAAATGACAAAAATGTAAAATGTAAAAATGTAAGGCCTGATTGGTGGAGTGCTGCAGAGATGGTTGTCTTTCTGGAAGGTTCTCCCATCTCCACAGAGGAACTCTAGAGCTCTGTCAGAGTGACCATCGGGTTCTTGGTCACCTCCCTGACCAAGGCCCTTCCCCCCCGATTGCTCAGTTTGGCCGGATGGCCAGCTCTAGGAAGAGTCTTGGTGGTTCTAAACTTCTTCCATTTAAGAATGGAGGCCACTGTGTTCTTGGGGAACTTCAATGCTGCAGAAATCTTTTAGTACCCTTCCCCAGATCTGTGCCTCGACACAATCCTGTCTCGGAGCTCTACGGACAATTCCTTCGACCTCATGGCTTAGTTTTTGCTCTGACATGCATTGTCAACTGTGGGACCTTATATAAACAGGTGTGTGCCTTTCCAAATCATGTCCAATCAATTGAATTTACCACAGGTGGACTCCAATCAAGTTGTAGAAACATCTCAAGGATGATCAATGGAAACAGGATGCACCTGAGCTCAATTTCAAGTCTCATAGCAAAGGGTCTGAATACTTATGTAAATAAGGTATCTGTTTTAAATTTTTTATAAATGTGAAAAAAATTCTAAAAGCCTGTTTTCGCTTTGTCATTATGGGGTATTGTGTGTAGATTTGAGGATATTTTTATTTTATTTAATCCATTTTAGAATAAGGCTGTAACGTAACAAAATGTGGAAAAAGTCAAGGGGTCCGAATACTTTCCGAAGGCGCTGTACATCATTGGTCTGGGTCCCACAGTACCTTGCAGCACCAGCTATCAGACCGATTCACCCTTTGTTTCATCGCCTTGCCCAGAACCGGTGACCATTGGCTACAGGTCCATCTCCATAGCCACTGGACTACCTACCTTGCTGCACCACAGAGCCACAGTCTGGGTCCTGGGCCACCTGCAGTAGTATCTCCTCCACGTCCCTGTTCTTCCCTGGGGGGTCCACCAGCTGTGTGATCCTCTGCTGCAGGGTCCTGGGGAGGGCCATCAGCTGGACAAACTGACCCTCCGGACTCTTATCCACCTGGGAGATTGATTTACATTTTACACACAGCGTATTATACACTAGAACACACACACACACACGTTATGGTCCTGGAGAGGGGCCATCAGCTGGTTATGGTCCTGGGGAGGGGCCATCAGCTGGTTAGGGTCCTGGAGAGGGGCCATCAGCTCCTGGGGAGGGGCCATCAGCTGGTTATGGTCCTGGGGAGGGGCCATCAGCTGGTTATGGTCCTGGGGAGGGGCCATCAGCTCCTGGGGAGGGGCCATCAGCTGGTTAGGGTCCTGGGGAGGGGCCATCAGCTGGTTATGGTCCTGGGGAGGGGCCATCAGCTGGTTATGGTCCTGGGGAGGGGCCATCAGCTGGTTATGGTCCTGGGGAGGGGCCATCAGCTCCTGGGGAGGGGCCATCAGCTGGTTATGCTCCTGGGGAGGGGCCATCAGCTGGTTAGGGTCCTGGGGAGGGGCCATCTGCTGGTTATGGTCCTGGGGAGGGGCCATCAGCTGGACAAACTGACCCTCCGGACTCTTACTCAACTACAACACACGTACATACATTTTCGTTTTGCCAAAGAGCACTGGTGTGCAAAAAGTTACCATAAACGTAATTTTACTTCGGTAGCGTGATTGAATTTTCCAACAATCTGAATCATCCACACACATATACATAATCTTATCTACCAAGGTCAGGGCTCTCCAACCCTGTTCCTGGACAGCTACCCTCCTGTACGTAGGTTTGAACTCCAACCCCAGTTGTAACTAACCTGATTCAGCTCATCAACCAGCTGATTATTAGAATCAGGTGCGCTAGATTAGGGTTGGAGTTAAAACCTACAGGACAGTAGCTCCAGGAAGAGAGTTGGAGTTAAAACCTACAGGACGGTACCTCTCCAGGAACAGGGTTGGAATTAAAACCTACAGGAGGGTATCTCTCCATGAACAGGGTTGGAATTAAAACCTACAGGACAGTATCTCTCCAGGAACAGGGTTGGAGTTTAAAACCTACAGGAGGGTATCTCTCCAGGAACAGGGTTGGAATTAAAACCTACAGGAGGGTATCTCTCCAGGAACAGGGTTGGAATTAAAACCTACAGGACAGTATCTCTCCAGGAACAGGGTTGGAGTTAAAACCTACAGGAGGGTATCTCTCCAGGAACAGGGTTGGAATTAAAACCTACAGGAGGGTATCTCTCCAGGAACAGGGTTGGAGTTAAAACCTACAGGAGGGTACCTCTACAGGAACAGGGTTGGAATTAAAACCTACAGGAGGGTAGCTCTCCATGAACAGGGTTGGAATTAAAACCTACAGGAGGGTATCTCTCCAGGAACAGGGTTGGAATTAAAACCTACAGGAGGGTATCTCTCCAGGAACAGGGTTGGAGTGTAAACCTACAGGAGGGTAGCTCTCCAGGAACAGGGTTGGAGTTAAAACCTACAGGAGGGTATCTCTCCAGGAACAGGGTTGGAGTTAAAACCTACAGGAGGGTATCTCTCCAGGAACAGGGTTGGAATTAAAACCTACAGGAGGGTAGCTCTCCAGGAACAGGGTTGGAATTAAAACCTTCAGTAGGGTAGCTCTCCAGGAACAGGGTTGGAGTTAAAACCTACAGGAGGTAGCTCTCCGGGAACAGGGTTGGAATTAAACCTACAGGAGGGTAGCTCTCCAGGAACAGGGTTGGAATTAAAACCTACAGGAGGTAGCTCTCCAGGAACAGGTTGGAGTTAAAACCTACAGGAGGGTAGCTCTCCAGGAACAGGGTTGGAGTTAAAACTACAGGAGGGTTTCTCTCCAGGAACAGGGTTGGAATTAAAACCTACAGGAGGGTAGCTCTCCAGGAACAGGGTTGGAATTAAAACCTACAGGAGGGTATCTCTCCAGGAACAGGGTTGGAATTAAAACCTACAGGAGGGTAGCTCTCCATGAACAGGGTTGGAGAGCCCTGACCTAGAATGTATAAACATGATCATATGAACACTATTGGGATGGAGGCCGGGCCTCCTGTTGCCTCCTGCCTCCCCTGTTGAGGCTTGTTTGCAAACACACGTTTCTCACCTCCAGCTTCCCCTGTTGAGGCTTGTACACCACCTGAGGACACTCCTGCAGAATGCTGTTGTAGAGAATGCGGAATTGTTGCACGTTCTCCTTGACAATGTTAGCCACCTTCGACCGGTCTTCTCCAATCACCATCCTGAAATCTCCTTGGGGGCGGGACAACAGACCGTTTCACAACCAACCAAACAGCAGAACAGTAGACTAATAACCAATAACAGAGTGGGGGGGGGGATTAACCAATATTCTACACCCTTCTCACGTGTGTGTTTTCACTCCTTGTCATGGATTTAAAAGCATATGATTGGTGTGGTCCTCTGTAGCTCAATTGGTAGAGCATGGCGCTTGTAACGCCAGGGTAGTGGGTTCGATCCCCGGGACCACCCATACGTAAAAAATGTATGCGCACATGACTGTAAGTCGCTTTGGATAAAAGCGTCTGCTAAATGGCATATTATTATTATTTATATTTAGCATTGGGTGAAGGGAGTTTCCACCATTTTTAAATCCATATAAATTAAGTGTTCAAGCACACACACGTCGGGAGAAGGGTGGTGAATCGGGACGCATCATAGGGCTAGAGTTAAAGCGTACCATCGTCGCCGAACAACAACATAGCCATAACATTTCCTTAAAATAGTCAGAATTAATCTAAGATAAATCAAGAAATCTGTAATTAATGTTGACGTTTTTTTTTGCTAAGGAGGTCTTAGTCGCGCAATTTTACATCTAACTAAGATGTTTGGTGCAGTATTTTTCCAAGTGAAAAAATTTGCATGAAAACTTGTGGTCTCTCGTTGAACGACAACAAACACTTAATTGAAGAATCCCTACTGTGGACCAATCACTGAAGAAGGGGAGTAGACTTCGGCTACCGCACTTCAGCTTGCCTCAAGACGTTTTTTTTAGTGCGCTCGAACAGCTGGAAAATAAAAACCTGCCGAACGTTGCCGAACACAAAAACTAACAAAAACGTAACAACATTTGGAGTGGGAAGCATACGGTAAGCTTTAGTAACGTTAGCCTATTCACCAGAGTAAGGAGAAAGAGGACAAGTCATTGTGCTTAACATCGACTTTGCAGATAGCAGCTACTTTAAAAAGGTTTTACTTTCGATTGTAGTGATAGGTGTTTGTTTCCTTTATTTAAAATGAAGTAATGGTAAGTTGCCCTAAATAATTCAAATGTAACTAAAGTCTAGTCACCGGCGTAGGAGAGCCCAGCGATCTGCAGGAACAGGTCCTCTTCAGAGAAGCTCTCAGGCAGCATAAGGAAGGAGGCAGTCACAGCACTCTTCAGGTTCCCCACCAACGCACCACGCATCTTCCCGTTCTCACCCTGAACTAGGATCTTCACCTACACAACAACATAGTCAGCTTCCTGTTCTCACCCTGCACTAGGATCTTCACCTACACAAAAACAACATAGTCAGCTTCCTGTTCTCACCCTGCACTAGGATCTTCACCTACACAATAACAACATAGTCAGCTTCCTGTTCTCACCCTGCACTAGGATCTTCACCTACACAACAACATAGTCAGCTTCCTGTTCTCACCCTGCACTAGGATCTTCACCTACACAACAACAACAACATAGTCAGCTTCCTGTTCTCACCCTGCACTAGGATCTTCACCTACACAACAACATAGTCAGCTTCCTGTTCTCACCCTGCACTAGGATCTTCACCTACACAACAACAACAACATAGTCAGCTTCCTGTTCTCACCCAGCACTAGGATCTTCACCTACACAACAACAACATAGTCAGCTTCCTGTTCTCACCCTGCACTAGGATCTTCACCTACACAACAACAACATAGTCAGCTTCCTGTTCTCACCCTGCACTAGGATCTTCACCTACACAACAATAACATAGTCAGCTTCCTGTTCTCACCCTGCACTAGGATCTTCACCTACACAACAACAACATAGTCAGCTTCCTGTTCTCACCCTGCACTAGGATCTTCACCTACACAACAACAACATAGTCAGCTTCCTGTTCTCACCCTGCACTAGGATCTTCACCTACACAACAACAACATAGTCAGCTTCCTGTTCTCACCCTGCACTAGGATCTTCACCTACACAACAACAACATAGTCAGCTTCCTGTTCTCACCCTGCACTAGGATTTTCACCTACACAACAACAACATAGTCAGCTTCCTGTTCTCACCCTGCACTAGGATCTTCACCTACACAACAACAACATAGTCAGCTTCCTGTTCTCACCCTGCACTAGGATCTTCACCTACACAACAACAACAACATAGTCAGCTTCCTGTTCTCACCCTGCACTAGGATCTTCACCTACACAACAACAACATAGTCAGCTTCCTGTTCTCACCCTGCACTAGGATTTTCACCTACACAACAACATACTCAGCTTCCTGTTCTCACCCTGCACTAGGATCTTCACCTACACAACAACAACAACATAGTCAGCTTCCTGTTCTCACCCTGAACTAGGATCTTCACCTACACAACAACAACAACATAGTCAGCTTCCTGTTCTCACCCTGCACTAGGATCTTCACCTACACAACAACAGCATAGTCAGCTTCCTGTTCTCACCCTGCACTAGGATCTTCACCTACACAACAACAACATAGTCAGCTTCCTGTTCTCACCCTGCACTAGGATCTTCACCTACACAACAACATAGTCAGCTTCCTGTTCTCATCCTGCACTAGGATCTTCACCTACACAACAACATAGTCAGCTTCCTGTTCTCACCCTGCACTAGGATCTTCACCTACACAACAACATAGTCAGCTTCCTGTTCTCACCCTGCACTAGGATCTTCACCTACACAACAACAACATAGTCAGCTTCCTGTTCTCACCCTGCACTAGGATCTTCACCTACACAACAACAACATAGTCAGCTTCCTGTTCTCACCCTGCACTAGGATCTTCACCTACACAACATAGTCAGCTTCCTGTTCTCACCCTGAACTAGGATCTTCACCTACACAACAACAACATAGTCAGCTTCCTGTTCTCACCCTGCACTAGGATCTTCACCTACACAACAATAACATAGTCAGCTTCCTGTTCTCACCCTGCACTAGGATCTTCACCTACACAACAATAACATAGTCAGCTTCCTGTTCTCACCCTGCACTAGGATCTTCACCTACACAACAACAACAACATAGTCAGCTTCCTGTTCTCACCCTGCACTAGGATCTTCACCTACACAACAACATAGTCAGCTTCCTGTTCTCACCCTGCACTAGGATCTTCACCTACACAACAACAACATAGTCAGCTTCCTGTTCTCACCCTGCACTAGGATCTTCACCTACACAACAACAACAGTCAGCTTCCTGTTCTCACCCTGCACTAGGATCTTCACCTACACAACAACAACAGTCAGCTTCCTGTTCTCACCCTGAACTAGGATCTTCACCTACACAACAACAACATAGTCAGCTTCCTGTTCTCACCCTGCACTAGGATCTTCACCTACACAACAACAACATAGTCAGCTTCCTGTTCTCACCCTGCACTAGGATCTTCACCTACACAACAACAACAGTCAGCTTCCTGTTCTCACCCCGCACTAGGATCTTCACCTACACAACAACAACAGTCAGCTTCCTGTTCTCACCCTGAACTAGGATCTTCACCTACACAACAACAACATAGTCAGCTTCCTGTTCTCACCCTGCACTAGGATCTTCACCTACACAACAACAACATAGTCAGCTTCCTGTTCTCACCCTGAACTAGGATCTTCACCTACACAACAACAACATAGTCAGCTTCCTGTTCTCACCCTGAACTAGGATCTTCACCTACACAACAACAACATAGTCAGCTTCCTGTTCTCACCCTGAACTAGGATCTTCACCTACACAACAACAACATAGTCAGCTTCCTGTTCTCACCCTGCACTAGGATCTTCACCTACACAACAACAACATAGTCAGCTTCCTGTTCTCACCCTGCACTAGGATCTTCACCTACACAACAACATAGTCAGCTTCCTGTTCTCACCCTGCACTAGGAACTTCACCTACACAACAATAACATAGTCAGCTTCCTGTTCTCACCCTGCACTAGGATCTTCACCTACACAACAACAACATAGTCAGCTTCCTGTTCTCACCCTGCACTAGGATCTTCACCTACACAACAACATAGTCAGCTTCCTGTTCTCACCCTGCACTAGGATCTTCACCTACACAACAACATAGTCAGCTTCCTGTTCTCACCCTGCACTAGGATCTTCACCTACACAACAACATAGTCAGCTTCCTGTTCTCACCCTGCACTAGGATCTTCACCTACACAACAACATAGTCAGCTTCCTGTTCTCACCCTGCACTAGGATCTTCACCTACACAACAACAACAACATAGTCAGCTTCCTGTTCTCACCCTGCACTAGGATCTTCACCTACACAACAACAACATAGTCAGCTTCCTGTTCTCACCCTGCACTAGGATCTTCACCTACACAACATAGTCAGCTTCCTGTTCTCACCCTGAACTAGGATCTTCACCTACACAACAACAACATAGTCAGCTTCTTGTTCTCACCCTGCACTAGGATCTTCACCTACACAACAATAACATAGTCAGCTTCCTGTTCTCACCCTGCACTAGGATCTTCACCTACACAACAACATAGTCAGCTTCCTGTTCTCACCCTGCACTAGGATCTTCACCTACACAACAACAACATAGTCAGCTTCCTGTTCTCACCCTGCACTAGGATCTTCACCTACACAACAACAACAGTCAGCTTCCTGTTCTCACCCTGCACTAGGATCTTCACCTACACAACAACAACAGTCAGCTTCCTGTTCTCACCCTGAACTAGGATCTTCACCTACACAACAACAACATAGTCAGCTTCCTGTTCTCACCCTGCACTAGGATCTTCACCTACACAACAACAACATAGTCAGCTTCCTGTTCTCACCCTGCACTAGGATCTTCACCTACACAACAACAACATAGTCAGCTTCCTGTTCTCACCCTGCACTAGGATCTTCACCTACACAACAACAACATAGTCAGCTTCCTGTTCTCACCCTGCACTAGGATCTTCACCTACACAACAACAACATAGTCAGCTTCCTGTTCTCACCCTGCACTAGGATCTTCACCTACACAACAACAACATAGTCAGCTTCCTGTTCTCACCCTGAACTAGGATCTTCACCTACACAACAACATAGTCAGCTTCCTGTTCTCACCCTGCACTAGGATCTTCACCTACACAACAACAACATAGTCAGCTTCCTGTTCTCACCCTGCACTAGGATCTTCACCTACACAACAACAACATAGTCAGCTTCCTGTTCTCACCCTGCACTAGGATCTTCACCTACACAACAACAACATAGTCAGCTTCCTGTTCTCACCCTGCACTAGGATCTTCACCTACACAACAATAACAACATAGTCAGCTTCCTGTTCTCACCCTGCACTAGGATCTTCACCTACACAACAACATAGTCAGCTTCCTGTTCTCACCCTGCACTAGGATCTTCACCTACACAACAACAACATAGTCAGCTTCCTGTTCTCACCCTGCACTAGGATCTTCACCTACACAACAACATAGTCAGCTTCCTGTTCTCACCCTGCACTAGGATCTTCACCTACACAACAACAACATAGTCAGCTTCCTGTTCTCACCCTGCACTAGGATCTTCACCTACACAACAACATAGTCAGCTTCCTGTTCTCACCCTGCACTAGGATCTTCACCTACACAACAACAACATAGTCAGCTTCCTGTTCTCACCCTGAACTAGGATCTTCACCTACACAACAATAACATAGTCAGCTTCCTGTTCTCACCCTGCACTAGGATCTTCACCTACACAACAACAACATAGTCAGCTTCCTGTTCTCACCCTGCACTAGGATCTTCACCTACACAACAACATAGTCAGCTTCCTGTTCTCACCCTGCACTAGGATCTTCACCTACACAACAACATAGTCAGCTTCCTGTTCTCACCCTGCACTAGGATCTTCACCTACACAACAATAACATAGTCAGCTTCCTGTTCTCACCCTGCACTAGGATCTTCACCTACACAACAACAACATAGTCAGCTTCCTGTTCTCACCCTGCACTAGGATCTTCACCTACACAACAACATAGTCAGCTTCCTGTTCTCACCCTGCACTAGGATCTTCACCTACACAACAACAACATAGTCAGCTTCCTGTTCTCACCCTGCACTAGGATCTTCACCTACACAACAACAACATAGTCAGCTTCCTGTTCTCACCCTGCACTAGGATCTTCACCTACACAACAACAACATAGTCAGCTTCCTGTTCTCACCCTGCACTAGGATCTTCACTTACACAACAATAACAGTCAGGTACCAAAACCATGGTGCATGACTGATATGTAACTAAACTTATACTGCCATCACATGGTTATATCTGTAATTGCATTACTGACATAATGTGTTTTATATATACACAATCTCTGTCCTATGTATAGTCACCTCTGCTACGGGGACTAACAGTCACCTCTGCTACGGAGACTAACAGTCACCTCTGCTACGGAGACTAACAGTCACCTCTGCTACGGGGACTAACAGTCACCTCTGCTACGGGGACTAACAGTCACCTCTGCTACGGGGACTAACAGTCACCTCTGCTACGGGGACTAACAGTCACCTCTGCTACGGGGACTAACAGTCACCTCTGCTACGGGGACTAACAGTCACCTCTGCTACGGGGACTAACAGTCACCTCTGCTACGGGGACTAACAGTCACCTCTGCTACGGGGACTAACAGTCACCTCTGCTACGGGGACTAACAGTCACCTCTGCTACGGGGACTAACACTCACCGGTTTGTGCAGTCTGCCAGCAATATACATGGTCTTCCAGTGGAGCAGGTCATCAATCAGAGAGTCAGTACTGATCACGCCATACTTAATTATCTGTCAAGAGAGAAAAACCTTTAGGTTATAGAAGAGAACAAGCAGATTTTTTAAAAAGTAGTACGGCACCCCTGGAGAAAATCAGGCTTAAGTGCCTTGCTCAAGAGCACGTCGACAGGTTTTTTTAACTAAGCTCTCTACAAGTTTACTTGTTTTTCTATATTGTAGAAACTTTGTCCCCAGACGATTGCACACAGCGCATATAAGCCTGGGACATCAATCATTCTAAATTGGCCTTAGTGGGAGTGACAATATAATTCTATGGGAGTGACCTACTGGCCAAAGTATTTGTCATAATTTAATTTTAGCCAATCGGTTCCCTTGGCAGCTTCTCCCCATGAATCTCAGCATGTTACCTAGCAACAACACTACACCCTCAACTTGTCAGAATAAGTCAACATAACTCAAGAAATCTGTAATTTTGACGTTTTGCCCGAGCAATTGTACATCTAGCTAAGGAGTTTAGTGGTTGAAGGAGCGGTATTTCTGACGTTTGATAATGTACACCAACACTTCTCCATTATATCTCTAAGCCTGAGCCAGCCACTTCATATGAAACCAAAGAGAAGCTAACCAGTTTGTGCTACAATAAACGCAATGTTCCTTCCTACTGTAGTAACATTATTTTATCACACCAACCTTTTAAACGCAAGTAAAGTACGTCAGATAAACAGTGTCAGGACAGGCCTGATGGAAACAGAACATTTGTCGGTGAACTTTCCAAACGTCGACAAAACAAAACACGCTAGACACGGTGGGATCTTTTTGTGTCTGTAAAATGTATTATGAGAGAAATGGCGGTGGAAACGCTTTTACGCGCAAATATCGATCTAATAACAATCATATCACTGTTTCCTATATCAACATGTGGGTTGGGCCTCTCCATCTGTGAGGCGAGAGCAACATGCTCTCTTGTTTATTTATAAAGCACTTCTTCTAAAACTACCTCCATATATATCATCATTAATTTCCACTAGATATACTAATTTTAAAACCAGATCACAGATGTGGATTACCTTAGAGACTCCTGTGGTCTCCACAGAGTTGGGTAGGACTGCCATCAGTTCCTTTGCACCTTATTTATGGAACAAACTGCAGATCCAACTTAAGTTAGACACTCTGGTGTCCCTTGCCCATTTTAAAAATGTTATGGAGGATCAATATGATGTTGTCTGTGATTGTTTCTGTTGAATTGTGTTTTTTGTTTTTGTATGTTTGAAATGTTCTTGTCTGTATGTCTAAAATATGTGGTCCTCTGTAGCTCAATTGGTAGAGCACGGCGCTTGTAACGCCAGGGTAGTGGGTTCGATCCCCGGGACCACCCATACGTAAAAATGTATGCACACATGACTGTAAGTCGCTTTGGATAAAAGCGTCTGATAAATGGCATATTATTATTATTAAAACTGTACATGTCAACATGTTTACACAGGGCACAGCCGTAAAAGAGATCCAGGTCTCAGTCTGTTTTTCCCTGTTAAAATAAAGATTAAATAAAAATATTGAAGTAAACTTGGAGTCACCCGATGATATGGTGTGTGGCACTACGACTCAGGAAACCATGCAGTTTATTAGGCTACAGATGAAATAAGTTATGATGAACGTCACAGGGTGGTGAAAGTGTAGTTATCTTGATACTGCTTTACAATAAATAGAGGGTCTTATTCTGGTGACATGATGATCGATGCTTGACTGTCGTTTGACAAATAAAAATAATATCGCTCTTTTGTCATCACGTAGGCTATAATGTCATCATAGCTACCGTATACCATTAGGATAACCGTCATCAGTAGGCTATACCGTCATCATGTAGGCTATACCGTCATATGTAGGCTATACGTCATCATGTAGGCTATACCGTCATCATGTAGCTATACCGTCATCATGTAGGCTATACCGTCATCATGTAGGCTTATACCGTCTCATGTAGGCTATACGTCATCATGTAGCTATACCGTCATCATGTAGGCTATACGTCATCATGTAGGCTATACTGTCATCATGTAGGCTATACCGTCATCATGTAGGCTATACCGTCATCATGTAGGCTATACGTCATCATGTAGGCTATACCGTCATCATGTAGGCTATACCGTCATCATGTAGGCTATACCGTCATCATGTAGCTCTATACCGTCATCATGTAGGATATACAGTCATCATGTAGGCTTATACCGTCATCATGTAGGCTATACTGTCATCATGTAGGCTATAAGTCATCATGTAGGCCATACGTCATCATGTAGGCTATACCGTCATCATGTAGCTATACCGTCATCATGTAGGCTATACCGTCATCATGTAGGCTATACCGTCATCATGTAGGCTATACCGTCATCATGAGCTATGTCTATGAGCTATAATGTCATCATGTAGACATATGACCGTAATCATGTAGCTATACCGTCATCATGTAGGCTATACCGTCATCATGTAGGCTATACCGTCATCATGTAGGCTATACCGTCATCATGTAGGCTATAATGTCATCATGTAGGCTATACCGTCATCATGTAGGCTATAATGTCATCATGTAGGCTATACCGTCATCATGTAGGCTATACCGTCATCATGTAGGCTATAAGTCATCATGTAGGCTATAATGTCATCATGTAGGCTATACCGTCATCATGTAGGCTATACCGTCATCATGTAGGCTATAATGTCATCATGTAGGCTATATGTCATCATGTAGGCTATACCGTCATCATGTAGGCTATATACCGTCATCATGTAGGCTATACGTTCATGTAGGCATACCGTCATATGTAGGCTTACATCATGTAGGCTATACTGTCATCATGTAGGCTATATGTATCATGTAGGCTATAATGTCATCATGTAGGCTATACCGTCATCATGTAGGCTATACCGTCATCATGTAGCTATACCGTCATCATGTAGGCTATACCGTCATCATGTAGGCTATAATGTCATCATGTAGGCTATACCGTCATCATGTAGGCTATACCGTCATCATGTAGGCTATACCGTCATCATGTAGGCTATACCGTCATCATGTAGGCTATACTGTCATCATGTAGGCTATACCGTCATCATGTAGGCTATAATGTCATCATGTAGGCTATACCGTCATCATGTAGGCTATCATATGTACATATGTTAGACTATACCGTCATCATGTAGGCTATACCGTCATCATGTAGGCTATACCGTCATCATGTAGGCTATAATGTCATCATGTAGCTATAACCGTCATCATGTAGGACTTATACCGTCATCATGTAGGCTATACCGTCATCATGTAGGCATATGTCATCATGTAGCTATACATGTTATAGGCTATACCGTCATCATGTAGGATATACCGTCATCATGTAGGCTATACCGTCATCATGTAGGCTATACCGTCATCATGTAGGCTATACCGTCATCATGTAGGCTATAATGTCATCATGTAGGCTATACCGTCATCATGTAGGCTATAATGTAATCATGTAGGCTATACCGTCATCATGTAGGCTATACCGTCATCATGTAGGCTATACCGTCATCATGTAGGCTAACGTCATCATGTAGGCTATACCTGTCATCATGTAGGCTATAATGTCATCATGTAGGCTATAATGTCATCATGTAGGCTATACGTCATCATGTAGGCTATACCGTCCTCATGTAGGCTTATATGTCATCATGTAGGCTATACGTCATCATGTAGGCTATACCGTCATCATGTAGGCTATAATGTCAGTCATGAGGCTATACCTTCATCATGTAGGCTATACCTCATCCATGTAGTGCTATAATGTCATCATGTAGGCTAGACCGTCATCATGTAGGCTATACCGTCATCTGTGGGCTATACCGTCATCATGTAGGCTATACCGTCATCATGTAGGCTATACCGTCATCATGTAGGCTATACCGTCATCAGGTAGGCATATGTCATCATGTAGGCTATACCCGTCATCATGTAGGCTATAATGTCATCATGTAGGCTATACCGTCATCATGTAGGATATAACCGTCATCATGTAGGTATACCGTCATCATGTAGGCTATACCGTCATCATGTAGGCTATACGTCACATGTCATCATGTAGGCTATAATGTACCTCATCATGTAGGCTATACCGTCATCATGTAGGCTATATGTCATCATGTAGGCTATACCGTCATCATGTAGGCTATAACCGTCATCATGTAGGCTATACCGTCATCATGTAGGCTATACCGTCATCATGTAGGCTATAACGTCATCATGTAGGCTATACCGTCATCATGTAGGCTATACCGTCATCATGTAGGCTATACGTCATCATGTAGGCTATACCGTCATCATGTAGGCTATACTGTCATCATGTAGGCTATACCGTCATCATGTAGGCTATACCGTCATCATGTAGGCTATACCGTCATCATGTAGGCTATACGTCATCATGTAGGCTATACCGTCATCATGTAGGCTATACCGTCATCATGTAGGCTATAATGTCATCATGTAGGCTATACCGTCATCATGTAGGACTATACCGTCATCATGTAGGCTATAATGTCATCATGTAGGCTATACCGTCATCATGTAGGCTATACCGTCATCATGTAGGCTATACCGTCATCATGTAGGCTATACCGTCATCATGTAGGCTATACCGTCATCATGTAGGCTATACTGTCATCATGTAGGCTATACCGTCATCATGTAGGCTATACCGTCATCATGTAGGCTATAACGTCATCATGTAGGCTATACCGTCATCATGTAGGCTATACCGTCATCATGTAGGCTATACCGTCATCATGTAGGCTATACCGTCATCATGTAGGCTATACCGTCATCATGTAGGATATACCGTCATCATGTAGGCTATAATGTCATCATGTAGGCTATACCGTCATCATGTAGGCTATACCGTCATCATGTAGGCTATACCGTCATCATGTAGGCTATACCGTCATCATGTAGGCTATACCGTCATCATGTAGGCTATACGTCATCATGTAGGTCTATACCGTCATCATGTAGGCTATACCAGTCATCATGTAGGCTATAATGTCATCATGTAGGTATACCGTCATCATGTAGGCTATACCGTCATCATGTAGGCTATTACGGTCACTCATGTAGGCTATAGTCATCATGTAGGCTATACCGCATCATGTAGGCTTCTATCCGTCATCATGTAGGGCTATACGTATCATGTAGGCATACCGTCATCATGTATGCTATAACCTGTCATCATGTAGGCTATATCCGTCATCATGTAGGTATAACGTCACATGTGGATAACCGTCATCAGTAGGCTATTCCGTCATCATGTGGCTTAGTCATCATGTAGGCTATACCGTCATCATGTAGGCTATACCGTCATCATGTAGGATATAATGTCATCATTTAGGCTAACCCGCACTGTATCTGAGAGCTGTTCTATAGCGTCTATAGAGAGCACGTGCCAAGACCACAGTGGACACACATTCGCTGTACCGTATAACGCAAAACTTGTGATGGAAACCCATTTAACTTGTATGTTTTATTCGGTACCTGGGAATCTAACCACATATTGTTGTTGTTCTGCAGATTTTAGAATATTCACACGAAAATCAGTTGCCAATTGGATGGAAACATAGCTACGGAACGAGTTTTAATGAAGCAGCAACTGCCTGTTCTGCCCCGAGTCAGAGCAGTATGGAGTCAGCTCATCTGCTGAACGTAAACAGAGGTGCCCAAGACACACGGGGGGAAGGTGTTGTGGGAGATGATTGGTTGGTAGATTTAAGACGATTAAGCCAATGCCTATCGCGCCGGGAGTTTCTCACGTCTTTCTTATTGGCTAACGAAGGCCAGGTTTGACGCACTGGTCCACCAGACTCTCTGCGCATCTGGGTGGAAGTGAGTCTGGGAACAAGATTAATATTGTAGTGACCCTAAAACCAGTGGTGTCAAACTCATTCTATGAAGGGCCTACTGTCTGCTGGTTTTTGGTTTTTCCTTTCAATTAAGACCTAGACAACCAGGTGAGGGTCAGTGTGTTTAATTCATCAAACAAGTAGAAGGGAGGAGAGAACACCTGCAGACACTCGGCCCTGCAGACACTCGGCCCTGCAGACACTCGGCCCTGCAGACAGGGTGGTGCTATTGCCATACCAGGCAGTGATGCAGCCAGTCAAAATGCTCTCAAAATGGTACAGCTGAGGATTTGAGGGGCCCATGCCAAACTTTTTCAACCTCCTGAGAGGGAAAAGAGGCTCTGTCGCTCCTCCTTCACGAGCGCGTGTGATTGGACCATTTTAAGTCTTCGGTGTCCGAGGTAACTTGGAAGATCTCGACCCGCTCCCCTGCAGCCCCGTCGATGTGGATGGGGGCGTGCTCGCCCCCCCCCCCCGCCCCCGCCCCGCCCCGTTTTCCTGTAGTCCACGATCAGCTCCTTGTTCTTGCTGACGTGGAGGGAGTACCCAGAACACCCAAACACAAACACTTACCCTTCCATCCACAGGTACCAAGGTGTTGTAGTACACCCCAGCCCCATGTTCGTCCTGTATCCGGCTGATCTTCCTAGGACCCAGGAACTTTAATACAGAGTAATGTCTTCTGTTCTGCATCAGGTTCATGGTATGCCAGGTGACTGGATCGTCTACAGTGAACACAAAATCCAGCATGTTTTTCTGGGGGGGGGGGGGGGGGGGGGGGGGAGAGAAGAGATGTTCTTGTCAGTTACATTCATTGATTGCATGATCAGTGTCATGTTACACATTGTTTTATTTCAACAACTGCGGTATCGATATCTACACTACATGACCAAAAGTATGTGGACACCTGCTCGTCGAACATCTCATTCCAAAATCGTTGGCATTAATATGGAGTTGGTCCCCCCCTTTGCTGCTAATAACAGCCTCCACTCTTCTGGGAAGGCTTTCCACTAGATGTTGGAAAATTGCTGCAGGGACTTGCTTCCATTCAGCCACAAGAGAATTAGTGAGGTCGGGCACTGATGTTGGGCGATTAGGCCTGGCTCGCAGTCTGCGTTCCAATTCATACCAAAGGTGTTCGATGGGGTTGAGGTCAGGGCTCTGTGCAGGCCAGTCAAGTTCTTCCATACTGATTTCGACAAACCATTTCTGTATGGACCTCGCTTTGTACACAGGGGCATTGTCATGCTGAAACAGGAAAGTGCCTTCCCCAAACTGTTGCCATAATATTGGAAGCCCAGAATCGTCTAGAATGTCATTGTATGCTGTAGCGTTAAGATTTCCCTTCACTGGAAGTAAGGGGCCCGAACCATGAAAAACAGCCCCAGACCATAATTCCTCCTCCACCAAACTTCACATTTGGCACTATGCATTGGGGCAGGTAGCGTTCTCCTGGCATCCACCAAACCCAGATTAATCTGTCGGACTGCCAGATGGTGAAGCCTGATCCATCACTACAGAAAACGCGTTTCCACTGCTCCAGAGTCCAATGGCGGCGAGCTTTACACCACTGCAGCCGACGCTTGGCATCGCGCATTGTGATCTTAGGCTTTCCAGACGCAGTTTGGAACTCGGTAGTGAGTGTTGCAACCGAGGACAGACAATTTTACCCCCCACGCGCTTCAACACTCAGTGGTCCCGTTCTGAGAGCTTGTGTGGCCTACCACTTAGCAGCTGAGCCGTTGATGCTCCTAGACGTTGCCACGTCACAATAACAGCACTAACAGTTGACCGGGGCAGCTCTAGCAGGCCAGAAATTTGACAAACTGACTTGCTGGAAAGGTGGCATCCTATGACGGTGCCACGTTAAAAGTCACTGAGCTCTTCAACAAAGCCATTCTACTGCTAATGTTTGTCTATGGATATTGTATGGCTGTGTGCTCGATTTATACACCTGTCAGCAACGGATGTGGCTGAAATAGCCGAATCCACTCATTTGAAGGGGTGTCCACATATACACATATATACATATAGTGTATTTCTGCGCTCTTGCTAGTCGTGCATGCTGTCCTCTTACAAAGTTTGGCATGACAGACGGTTCCCTAAGTTGGCAAGTGAGCAGACTGTCACCCAGGCTTTTTAGCCTACTGCCGATGTCTGTATACTTTCGTCTAATGCCATGCAGATAGTACTAAAAAAATATATTAATGTCTCATCACTTACCCCCATTTGACCTTGGCTAGTTCCATTTTGTTTAAATACGCCAGATCCATAGGCAAATGCGAGGCTGATGTCTTGAGGGAACTGCGACAGTATTCTTCTATAGAGCACACTGGTGTTCTGCAAAGTTGGAAGCGTCATGATTGCAAGGCGCTTTCATTAGATAAATGGAGCTACAACAAGACTGAGAAGGACATTTCAGCTAACTGGCCATGCAAAGTATATTCAACGGCTCTGCTATTTCTTATCTAACAATTACAAACACGACAAAAGTGAAGCAGCAAACGGTCAAGTAAGCCTACGCAATAGCATGGCACAGAATTTCTCTTTGACCATGGTTTCTATCTTTAATGCATAGCTAGCTGTGCTAATATTAGCTGCACTGTTTTTTTTTTTAGATCAGCGTCTCGTCTTCCGGGTCACGGAATTTCAGAAAATTTCTAAATAAAAGTCCCTGACGTAATTGTAGAAAAGTGTCAATAACCTGTATTTATTCATGATATGAAAACGAATTATCTAAACACTAACAATTATTCATATTTGTTCATATTTAAGTGACATTTGGGTTTTACAACATGTTCCAAGGTCAAATAAATGCCACCAATGCAAATCACGGTATATGAAATACATATTGGCTAATAGAGCAAAAACTATTCTAGGTGCCACAGTAAAAGCATTGTAGGGAATTCTCAGTAGGGTCTGTAGAATGTATATATGGTGTCTTTTCATGGGGCTCTGAATAATACGTGTTGCTGGCCTTTTACACCACCCATTCCATTGGCCACAATGTGAATCACTGTATATGGAATACAGTACATATTGGCTTATAGAGCAAAAACTAGGTTAGGTCAGGGGGAAAGGGGAAAGGGGGAGGCAAAGGGGGGGGGAAAAAGGGGGGGGGAGGGGGGTAAAAGGGGGGGGAAGGGAGGGGGGGGGGTTTCAGGGGGGGGGGGGGCGGGGGGTAAAAAGGTGGGAAGGGGGGGGGGGGAAAGGGGTGGCAGGAAAGGGGGGAAAAGGGGGGAGGGGTCAGGGGGGAAGGGTTTCTGGGGGGGGGGGGGAGGGGGGCAGGAGGGGGAGGGGGGGGTTAAAGGGGGCGGAATTGGGGGGCAGGGGGGGGGGGCAGGGGGGTCAAGGGGGGGGGGGGGGAGAAGGGGCAGGCAAAGGGGGGGGGAAAGGGTTAAAAAGGGGGGCAAGGGGGAGGGTTCGGGGGGGCAAAAAGGGGGGGGAGAAGGGGGGCGGGTTAAGGGGGGGGGCAAAACCCAAAACCCCCAAAAGAGGGACAAACCAAAAAAAAAGGACCTCTATAATCATCCGCTCTTCCCTTATTCTGTTTGCGACAATAAAATTGATCAGCATTTGGAAGGAAGTTGCCCAAATTTTTGCAATGTTCAATGCTACAAAAAACATAGAAATTTTTAGGTCGGGGCTTTTTAATGGTATGGGGAAAAAAGAATGGTCTATAAGGCCTTGTGTTTTGGAAAGGTTAAAGGAAAAAAGGGTGGAAAGGCGGGGAGTACGGGATAGGGAAAAGTAGAAAAGGGATATACGGTGATGAGGAAGGAGTAGAAGGGGTAGTACGGGTTTATGGGAAGGGTAGAAAGGGGTAGTACGGTGATGAGAAGGGAAAGGGGGTAAGGGATAGGAGGGTAGTAAAGGGTTGGTGATGAGGAAAGGAGGAAGGGATTTACGGTGTGGGGGGTGGGGAAAAAGGGAGGGAAGGGGGGGAAGGGATGTAAGGTGATGAGGGAAAGGGGTGCAGGGATAGTACGGGTGGTAAAAAAACCGGGAATACGGGTGATGAGGAAAGGGGTAGGGGGGATTTCGGTGGTGTGAGGGGGGATAACGGGGTAGTACGGTTATGAGGAAAGGGGTGACGGGGTAGTACGGGTATGAGGGAAAGGGGTAACAGGGGTATAGGGGTGAGGGAAAGGGGTAGAAAGGGGAAATCGGGGTGTTGAGAAGGAGTAGACAGGGTAGTACGGGGGTGTGAGGAAGGGGTGCCCCGGGGTGTACGGTGTGAGGGAAAGGGTAGGGGGGGAAGTACGGGGGGATGAGGGAAAGGGGAGAAGGGGGTAGTACGGGGTGGGAGGAAGGGTAGGCAATAGTACGGGGATAGGAAGGGGTGCAGGGATATAGGGTGATGAGGGGGAGTAAACAGGGATAGAGGGGGTGTGGGAAGGAGTAGGCAGGGAAATACGGGGGAAGGAAGAGTAGAAGGGGTAGTACGGTGGGTGGGAAGGGTAGGGGAGGGATAGTACGGTGTTTAGGGGAAGGGGACAGGGATAGTAGGGGGTGATGAGGAAGGAGTAACAGGGGATAGTACGGTGTATAGGAGGGGTGGAGGGATAGTTGGGGGGATGAGGAAGGAGTAGGCAGGGATAGTACGGGTGATGGGAAGGGAGCAGGGAGAAGGGGGGTGAGAGGAAGGAGTAGCAGGATAGTACGGTGGGGGGGATTTTGGGTAGAGGAAGATAGAAAGGGGTAGTACGGTGTGGGAGGAGTAGCAGGGTGTACGGTTTATAGGGAAGGAGTAGAAGGGATAGTAGGGGGATGGGAAGGAGTAGAAGGGTAGTACGGTGATGAGGGAAGGATGACAGGGATAGTAGGGGGTGATGAGGAAGGGAAAGGGGTAGTAGGGTTTTGAGGAAGGAGTAAAAGGGGGAAGGATAAAAGGGGAAAGGTTTATGGATAGGAAAAGGGGTAGACAGGGATAGTAGGGGGGATGGGAAAAGGAGAACAGGGATAGTACTGGGGGAGGGAGGGGAGAAGGGATAGTACGTGGTGATGAGGAAGGAAGGGAAAGTAGAAAGGGGATTAAAGGGGAAGTGGTGAGGAAGGAGTGAAAGGGATATCGGTGAGAGAAAATAGACAGGGGTATACGGGGATGGAAAGGAGGACAGGGGTATACGGTGGGTGATGAGGAAGGAGAGACAGGTAGTACGGTGGTGAGGAAGGAATAGAAAAGGGATAGGACGGGAAAGGAAGGAGGAGACGGGATAGTACGGTATGAGGAAAAGGTGAGGGAGGGATAGTAAACCGGGTTTGGGGGATGAGGAAGGAGAGAAAGGGGGTATAGGTGGTTAGGAAGGATTTGACAGGGGTATAGGGGGATGAGGAAGGAGTAGGAAATTACGGGATGGGAAGGAGTAACAGGGAAGTACGGTGGTGAGGGGGAAGGAGTGAAAGGGATATCGGTGGTGAAAAAGGGGGAAGGAGTAGGGGCAGGGGATGGGGGTGATAGGAAGAGAGCAGGGATGTAGGTGATGAGGGAAGGGGTAACAGGGGATGTACGGGGATGAGGGGAAAGGAGTAAAGGGAAACGGTGGTGGGAAGGGGTAACAGGATAGTACGGTGTGGGAAGGGAGGGCAGGGGTAGTACGGTTATGAGGAAAAGGGAGACAGGGGTAGTACGGGGTAGAGGAGGAAGACAGGGATATCGGGATGAGGAAGGAGTAGACGGGTGTACGGTATGAGGAAAAGGAGTAGACGGGATGTACTGTTTTATGAGGAAGGGGTGAAGGGGAATACGGTGAGAGGAAAGGGGTAGAAGGGATGTAAGGGGTGAGAGGAAAGGGGTAGCAGGGATAGAGGTGATTTAGAAGGAGTGCAGGGGGTTACGGTTAGAGGAAGGAGTGACAGGGATATACGGGGAAGGGAAGGAGTAACAGGGATGTCGGTGATGAGGGAAGGAGTAGCAGGGATTTGTACGGGTGGGAAGGAAGGAGTAAGGGGGAAACGGTTGATGAGGAAGGGTAAAAAAGGCGGGATAAAATAACCGGGGGTTATGGGAAGGAGAGGCAGGATAGTACGGTGAAGAGGAAGGAGTAGACGGGGTAACGGGGTGAGGAAGGATAACGGATTTTGGGGGTGATGAGGAAGGGTAGCAGGGATAGACGGGGAGAGGAAAGGGGTAAAAGGGATAGTATGGTGTGAGGGGGAGAGCAGGGAAGCGTGTGGGAAAAAATAGACAGGGATATTTTCGGTGGGGGGTGGGGGGAGGAAGGGAAAAAGTGAAGGGATATACGGTGATGAGGGAAGGGAAATGGTAGAAAAGGAAGGGTTACGGTGGGGAGAGGAAGGAGGAGGGGAAGGGATAGGGTTTAACGGTTTGGTGAGGGAAAGGGGTAGGAGGATAGACGGTGGGAGGGAAAGGGGTAAAGGGGTAGTCGGGGTTTTGAGGAAGGAGTGAAGGGATTAAAGGGGGTTTATGAGAAGGAGTAGAAAAAGGGATAAAAATCCGGTGAGGTGATGAGGAAGGAGGGGATAGGGGAAAAGGATAGAAAGGGAAATACGGGTGTGAGGAAAGGGGTAGAAAAGGGATATTTCGTGTGAGGAAGGAGTAGCAGGGGTATCGGTGGTGATGAGGGGGGAGGCGGGATAGTACGGTTATGAGGAAAAAGGGGGGGGGGGAAGAAGGGTAGACAGGGGTGTACGGGGGATGAGGAAAGGGAGCGGGGTGACGGGGGAGAGGAAGAGTAGGCGGGATAGTACGGTGATGAGGAAGGAGTAGGCAGGGATAGTACGGTGATGAGGAAGGAGTAGACAGGGATAATACGGTGGGGGGAAAGGGGTAAAAGGATAGACGGTTGAGGAAGGGAGAAGGGATAGTACGGGGGTTGAGAAAAAGGAAAGGGAAAGGGGTAGACAGGGATAGCGGGTGAGAGGAGGATAACAGGGATGTACGGTGGGGAGGAAGGAGAGACGGGATATACGGTTGGTTTAGGGGAAAGGAGTAGACAGGGATAGTACGGTGGTGAGGAAGGAGTAGACAGGGATAGTACGGTGTGAGGAAGGGTTTTCAGGGATAATAGGGGGTGAGGGAAGGAAGACAGGGGTAGTCGGGGTGGGGGGAAGGGTAGACGGGATAGTACGGGGGGGATGAGGAAGGGGTAGACCGGGGTAGACGGGATGGGGGAAAGGGGAGACAGGGATATCGGTGAGGGAAGGATAACAGGGAAGTACGGTGATGAGGAAGGGGTAGCAGGGATATACGGGGGGGAAAGGGAAGGAGAGACGGGATGAGGTTATGAGGGAAAGGGGTAGCAGGGAAATTTTTAAAAATTTAAAAGGGGGCGGGATTTTGGAAGGAGTAGAAGGGATATACGGGGGGAGGGAAGGGGAAGGGGGTTTGGAGGGGATAGCGGGTGGGGGGTGAGGAAAAAGTAGACAGGGATGTACGGTATGAGGAAAGTAGACAGGGGTAGTCGTGATGAGGAAGGGGTAGCAGGGATAGTCGTGGGTGAGGAAAGGGGTGCAGGGGTATTACGGTGATGGGAAGGGGTAGACAGGGGTGTACGGTGGAGGAAGGGTTTGACAGGGTGTACGGGTGAGAGGAGTAGACAGGATAGTAAGGTGATGAGGAGGAGTAGCAGGGGTAGTCGGGGGAGAGGAAAGGG